GTAAGACTGTCACAAAAAAAAAAAAAAAAAAAAATTCCGAGAGTTCTCCGCTTTACAAATGAGGAAAGTGAGGCTCAGAGAGGGACAGGGACTTGCCCAAGGTCACACAGCCAGTCTTGGATTCAAACTTGAGAGTTTGTAACCCTTTCTAATGATCAGGACCTCCCAGAGTTGCCCAAACTTCTGACCCAGACTCTGCAGAGGCCTGCGCGGAGGAAGAGGAAGGACTCGTGCCGCAAGCTCCCCAGCTCCTGGACTTCAACGTGGACGAGGTGGCCGAGCAGCTGACCCTCATGGACTTGGTGAGGATCCCGGACTGGGTCGGGATGAGCCACAGTGAGGGGACAGGTTCTGCTGAGCACCAATCCCACACCCCTCCCCTGGCCCAGGAGCTCTTCTCCAAGGTGAGGTCCTACGAGTGCCTGGGCTCCGTGTGGTCGCAGAGGGACCGGCCCGGGGCTGCAGGCGCCTCCCCCACTGTGCGCGCCACCGTGGCCCAGTTCAACACAGTGACCGGCTGTGTGCTGGGTTCCGTGCTCGGAGCGCCGGGCTTGACCGCCCCGCAGAGGGCGCAGCGGCTGGAGAAGTGGATCCGCATCGCCCAGGTGTGTTGGGGGCGCGGGGAGGGGATGCAGGGGCGGGCCCTGGGGCAAGAAGAAACGAGGGCTCGGGAGAGAGACAGGGGCGTGTCTAGGCGAGGGAGGGAAGGGGGTGGAAAGTTGATGCCTAGGGTAAGACTTGGGTTCAGGGAGGAGGGTCTGGGTCCTGCAGAGAGGCTGCGGGCACGACTAGGTCCCAAGGGAGCTGGGAGAAGTAGGGAGCCCGGACCCGAGAAGTCAAGATCGGAGGTAGGGGCTGGAGGGGCAGCTAGGGGAGAGGCTGGAGCCCGAGGGAGGAGGGAGGAAGGGACTCCCAGGGCATGAGTGGGAGTCTTAGTAGCTTGTCCGTGAGACAAGACCCAGGTGTCCGATCTGGCGTCACAAGTCACGGGATCAGGCCGGGCGCAGTGACTCACTCCTGTAATCCCAACCCTCTGGGGAGAGGGAGGATCGCTTGAACCCTAGAGTTTGAGACCAGACTAGGCAACATAGTGAGACCAATGTTTCTTAACAAACAA